TATATTTTCGTCACCGTTAGAGGAATCTCGCACAAAAACCATGATAATTGACAGAGATCCTACGATTTTTGCGGATATCGTGAGTGGTAAAAGCATAATAGTGTTTGTGACATTTATACTCTTGCAAACTTTTAAAAAATAGTAAATTAAAGATATAAACTTAAATTGATAATATAGGTTAGGCATTTACAAGGATATATTATAATACCCCGGGATGAGGTATTATTAAATTATTAATGATAATTTGAAAATTTAAACGAATTATAATTGAAATTACAAATTAAATTTTATTTGAAAGTAGATCCACTATTCATATCTGTATACTGATGCAATATATTATAATCTATCAAAATTGAAAACTCAATTACGGTCCCATTATATCATAAATATCGGTGGGAAAGTATTTCGTGTTGATAGAGAAGTATTAGAAACGCGAGATGCGCCAAATTTTTTTACGCTTGGTTAATATTTTATATTTTATGCATTTTTTTTTTTTTTTTTTTTTTGCGCCAGCATTCTAGAAGTAATATTAACAACTTTTTAGGCTTTAGCCATGGTTGGGAACCACCACCAAACATTCCCACATCCCTCCCATTGGCAGTAACGCCTCCGATGGTCGATCGTGACCCTGAATTGTTTTCTGACATTCTACGATATCTTCAAGGATACGAGATTGGAATCAAAGATGAAGTTCATAGGCAAAACTTGCTCAAGGATGCTCGCTTTTATCATTTAAAAGGATTAGCTGAAAAATTATTAGCATCTACAGTGACTGTAAATGGATTTGCTAAACATGATTGTGCAAAAAATGAGATATTGTTTCGGTTAAAAGATATTAGGACATCCGGTGTTATACTACCGGAATGTAGTAATAATGGTGATGCTTTAGGCGACGAAGATAGTGTTATTTCTACAGGAGATACTAGTCACATCATGTATAAAAATAAGGAAGGAACCGTTTATATCTTATTGGTAGAGGTGCATAACGCTCATCTAATTTGTCGATATGAACCAATGTCTTGGGAAATGCCTACAATATTAGAGTTAGTATTATCTGATAAGGAGATAAAGAAGCTTAAGGACATCGCTAAGGCAATCAAAGCATTAGGTGAAATTGAGCCCGTTATTCGATCACCAGAAATATGCGCCTTTGAAGTTGATGGGGTAAAATGCACTTCAAAAACCTTAATAAATGTTGATGAATCGCCACATTTAATAAAAGAAGATGATCAAGGGAGTCGATACGTAGACTTATTCGTAACAAAAGGAATATTGAAATTATTTGTAAACAATGAAAGGAAAATTGAAATGGAACTACTAAAATGTGAGGTCTTTAGTTCAGAGAAAGGATTCAACAGAAAGAGAGAATTCTTGCCCGCTGATAAAAGAATCGCATTGTAGACTAATATATATGATTGCCTTTTTTCAGAATTATTATTATTTTTATGGTGTTTCTACATACGTTTGTCTGTTTTTTTATTATAATCTTTTTTATATAGATAAATCATCATCTGGATCTTCTTCGTCAAAATCATCATTAGCATCAGGTTCATAAAAGATAATCCCACCACTAGAATCGACCTTTTTTTCTTCATATTGATCTAATAAGATTAAAAAATATTATCATCTTTTCTAACCAAACGTAATATGATCTCACATAACAAATATGATACCTTGCACTTTTGTATATGGCAAAATTACATCATTTTTTGCTTTTTTCTGTTCTTCAGTCAGTGATAAATTGAATAACGTATTCGCTATTGTTGGATCAGGCTTAAAAAAAAGAAGTGATATATTATGAGATTAACGAAATTATTAAATTAATAGAAATATATTCTATTTCACCTACATTATTGTTATCCTTAACATTTATATCATCAGTTATTTCTTTTGCAAATTGAATTATTAGATCATTTGTAGATTCATCAATATGATATACATTTCTCTTATAATGTATAATCAATCCAACTTAGCATATGATCGATTAAAGTTAGAAAACACTAGTTCAATTAATAAAATAATAAAGATTAAATTACCTCATAAAATACTTTTCCTGATTTTTTTCTATGTTCTATCAAGCAAATACTACATTCTGGTGAATTCATATGTACATTTACCATAACATCAGTACCTTTAGAATACTCATAAATAGACTCTTTACGAGTTTGTTCCATATTTTTGATAGTTATGGTTGTGGTAGCAAAATGACTTAGAATAGTGCTCCGAACATTTAGCATACCGGTTATCCCATTTACCGGATATGTTGGAATGTCGGAATGATAAACTGCTATCACTCTAAATGTATTCATTTCTAGTTTCATACATGTTTTATAAGTAATATAATAAAGATTTCTTAACATACAAAAGGATAATTCAAATTATAAATACCTGAAGTTAACCCGGATGAAATCTTTTTTAAAAAAGAAAACGTTGATGATAAGGAAGTTAAAAGTATAGGAGTAAGTGAGTCTATGATCAACGTGAAATTGGAATTTGGAGCTAATAGAGTATATTAAAATACATAAATTACATCAAGGAATCATTAGTATCTTGACAATAAAATAGTATTAGATGTTATATAAGATGACAAATTAAATACTTGCATTTGGCAATAATATCTTGAATCAATCTTAAAATTATGGACAAATCATCAAGACTTTTTATGATATGTATTTTTGTATCATTGCTACCAATGTCATCCGTGTCATCACTTTCATACGATCCAAGACGGGAATATGCGTCAAGAAATATGACACTAGACAATCGAAAAACATTTGGAATTGTCTTTTACAATTTTTTTTTTTTAAAAAAAAAATCAAAAAAGAATCATTCTAACTAATTTAGCATTTAACACATACTTTTTATTCGATGCCACACTTTCAAGAAAATATT